GGGATGAGTAAGCTAAGAAAATCTATTCATTTTAGATATATGTTAACTATTCTTACTGTGCTTTGAAATTGTCAATAATTTCCAGTTATTCTTTGTTTATATTTGTATATATTCTTTGTTTATATTTATATTGTTTGTTTATATTCTTTGTATATATTTTGTTTCTATTTTATATTTTGTTTATAATATATATTATATATTTCCAATTATTCTTTGTTTATATTCTATTCCCCTTCCCCAAAAAACTCCAAACACCAAAAAAAGTAAGCAAATAGTATTGGAAATTTTATAAATCTTATATATAGCAATCAGAAGTTTATAAAGTAGATCATTCTGAAGGCAGATATGTTAATCAGTCAAATTATTTAAGAGAAGGAGTCCCAGTGTGAGGAAAATTCAACTCTTTTGAAGAGTTCATTTGTTAACACATTTCTCAATATTCCCAAAGTGACAAAGGCCAATAAGCACATGAAAAGATGCTCAGTGTCACTAATCATTAGGAAAATGCAAATCAAAATCACAAGATTCAACCTCAAACCATTAGGATGCCTAGCATTAAAAGAAAAATACAAAAAAATAGTGGTGAGGATATGGAGAAAGTGGAACCTTCTCACATTACTGGTAGGAAATGCGCTTACTGGACTTTGTCTATCTGCTTTGGGGCTATGTCTATTTAAGTCTTTTGCCCATTTCCAAAATGGATACACAGCAGATATACAGATTTTTGGGATTCACATGATAATTTGATACACTTATATAATCAAATCAGAGTAATTGGGATATTCATTATCTTAAACACTTACCTTTTCTTTATCCTAGGAACATTCACATAATTCTCCTCAAGCTATTTTGAAATATACAACAGATTAATTTCTGCAGCCATGTCACCTGAGTGCATCTCATCTCATCTGCCCATTTTTTATTTGGGGTCTTTATATTTGTTCTGTTGAATTAGTAAAAATTAGATTCACAGCTGAATTATGATTAATGTAATTGTCACCTCGAAAATTATAATAAACGGACAAATATTATAAAATGTCATATTTTCCTTCATTGTTGAAATAATTGTTGAATAAATAGAATACATTTTTATTCAGTAAAGGGAGATTTATTTTTCATGTAGCTTATTCTATATAAATTATATATTTTTAAGTGGAATTCTTAAAAGAAAAAGGGAGTGGAATTCTCTTCTTTCACAGATATTTCTTTTAGACTCCCACTTTTAGCAAATAAAGTCAAGAAAAGTGTTTTCCTGGTATTTTCTCTTTCCTGGTATTTCATCTTTTTCCGCCTTCTGTTTGCTCATTTCTTCTTGATGTGAAACGTCCGTGTTCCTGGCAGCAGGCTTTCTTCTGTTTGTTTTGGAGAAACACCTGCTGGCCTAGCATAAGTATCTTGAAAAATCTTACAGGCTCCTCTTAGCCCTGAAATGTCATCACCATGTCCTGTCCCCAAGCCATACAACATCCAGCATCCTCATTGAAAGTTTTAAAACAGCACCTCCTTGTCAGTGACCCTATGCCAGGCATTAGCCTCAGTATTTTACAGCCACTGGTGTCTTTAATTCTTATAATAACCCTATGTATGCTATTATTATCCCCATTTTACAAATGTGGGCACTGAGGCACAGAAAAAATAAGTAATTTGCCTGGTGCCATTGCAGCCAGCAAGTGTAGAAGCTAGGTAGCCCGGCTGCCACTGTTTCTCAGCATGACATGGGGCTGCCTTTGGAATAATTGTCAGATTTCCCTGCTTGACCTCAGGGGCCTCCATGTCTAGTCTCCCCAAGCAAACTCCAACAGCCTCAACACATGTCAAGCACCCCCACTTCAAAGCAAGCTACCCAGAGGAATTTTTTTTGCAATTTTTGAGTCTTTTTATCTAAGACTATACTTTTATGCTCAAACCTGGTAATAAGGTTATTATTATATCTATATCTCAGCTTCCTCCAGTTTGTTGTCATCCCTCTTTATTATATTATAGATTGATAGACTGACACACCATGGAGGCATTGCTGAATTGAAGAGATGAGACATTGTGGTGGAATTAATTGTGTGTCAGATTGCTACATAACTCTTGTTTCCCATGAGATGAGAATCACAGTGATAAACCACGAAGACAGCTGTATGTGGCCTTGAACTAAGACCAGAATGCTCAGATAAGTTCCAATTTATCTTGTTTCCAGAGGTAAATTAGTAGAAAGGGGTGAAGAGGAGAAATATTTGTGAATGATACAGTAATCACAGATATTGGGTGGTGTCTAGGATACTAAAATGTGAAAGTGTTATGACTAAAAATCCTCTGCTGTTTAATTCATCACAGCTTATATTTGACATTCCCTAAAGTCACTGTGTCCAAAGAGACCATGTTTTTCTAGAATTCCTGTAAGGAAGATCTTTGCAAGAGGCCGCAATTCTGAATTTCCCAAACCACAAAGAGGTTTCAATTCTTCCTCTCAATCCCCAACCTTGAACTGAAGCCTCTGGAGAAAGCTCCCAGCTCAGCAGTTTGGATAGGCAACTACCTGTTCTTTTATGAGAGAGAAAAAGTAAGCAGTTTCCAAGAGACGGTAAACACTGGCTCTAAGAATAAAGACCAAAGAAGAACGAGAAACCAGCTGTCAAAAACACAGGAAAGATGTCCAAGTGGAAGAAAAATGTCAAGCAGGTAAAAGTGAGAATGAGAGAAAGTGCAGGCAGACACAGCAAAGAGTTACGGGAAGGATTAGTCAGTGAATCAGCAATACGTGCTATTATTATTTGCCTTAAACAGATGAAGAAACTGAAGCACAGGGGAGCGGAAATGCAGAACCACTCAGCATGTGCCCGAGATAGAACGTGAAGAAAGTATTACTCTAACACCCCACTATGCAGGATGACTTTCAGCGCTACTGGTTTCATTGTTGTTCTGGACAAAATAGCTGAACCTGTAAGGGAAGGCATGTTTATTATTATTTGCAGATAATATAACTTAATTTTCAGAAAGCCTGTGAAATCAGTTAAAAATTTAGACCCAATGTTAAAATAGGGTAATGTTGCTAAATATCAAACAAATATAGCAAAGTTACATAGCTTTTCAAGTGCAGGTAATGATTTGTTCAAAGGCGTAATTCAAAAGGAAGCATAAATCACATGACCAAAAAAAAAAAACCTCCCAAAAAACAAAGGAACAGTTTTAAGAATCGATGTGCAAAGTACAAAATACAAAATGCAAAATTTACCTGAAGATTATAAAATCTTAGTAATTGGAAAGACATATCATGTGGTACAGAGGTTAATAGAATATGGCATGTCAAGTTTTCATGAACAAATATAACAGTTTAATACTTTGAATCAAAATCTTGATAAAATTTCTTTTGAAAGCATTAAGGAGAGTTTTCTGGAAAAATACCAGACAAAAATAGGCAGGACTTAAAAAGCAAAACCAAAAACGAAAAATGCTGGGTGTGGCCCGGCCTTGAGGATACCTGATGTAACAGGAGTCATAGTAAAGCAGCTACTGTTTGGACTTGATCTGTGGAAAATACTGCTCTTTGTCTTTGGTAAGTTTTCCCATTTCCCCTCTAACGACATTATGCAGAAGAGACTGTCACTACCCGTTATGGGCAGAGGCCAGAGAGTTTAGGCACCTTTTTACCAGCTCACCAACTCAACGGTGGACTGGAGCATAGTATTCTCTAATTTTAGTACCCACCTGTTTACGCACTATACCATACACTACGACAAGCAGAGAAGCATAGTGTTGGGGCACAAATGGTGGATCGACAGACCAAAAATGAGAGCCCAGGAATGAATGTGTGTTAGAGGAACCATTGCCTGTCAAGGAATACAGTATCATTCAAAGGATGACTTACCTATTTAAAAAAATAAAACGTTTTCATATTATATGACATATTAAAACACATTTCACCTGGATTAAGGAGTTAAATCGAAAAAGCAAAACTGAAATTTAAAAAATAAAAACAGACAAATGCCGGAAAGTCTAATCTCCTGTTGGTGAAGGATTTTCTAAACATAGAAAAAAAATCACAAGGGAAAAGTCATAGGAAGATTTGACTACTTGAAATGTCCAAACATTCTTAAGTAAATTAAAATATCATAAATTGGTTAAGATTGCAATGAAATGTATATGCTTAATGTAGAAAGTGTTTATATGTTGTGGAAAGAGCTTGTAATATATATCGAGCTTTGTAACATAAATCAAAATTCTTGTCCTGCGATTCCCTAATTCTTCTTCAAAGATTTTATATCAAGGAAAACCAACAGAAATGAGGCAGGTGATAAAAATGGTCTGCCCAAAAGGAAGCTTTATAACAGCAAACGACATGAAATAATCCAACTGCAGGAGCCTACTCAATAGGGGGAGGGTTTGCCTGATTTTCGAGCATTTCTGATTCATTATGTCACCATTAGCATAGTATTCCCAAAATACACTTACGATATGCAAAGATAAAAATTTCATGTATATATACATCTGGAAAAGAGAAAAATACTTGTCAGAATGAGCATGAAACCTTCATTGATGGTTATGGGAGGGAGTGGAATTATAAAAGAGACTTAATTTTATACTTTCTTTTTTGCAGCAATTGACTTTTGTGCAGAAAACAAACCACATTTATCATTAGAAAAAGATGAAAACTTAACTAGATTCAAAATTGCATGTATAACATGAATTTCTGCTTACACATGTATACATAGAAGTAAACATATCAAAAACAGTCATAGTTATTATCTGAAGGGAAGCATTATAGACAATTTTCAACTTTCTCATAATGATTTTTTTATACTTTCCAAAGTCTAACATGTATTATTTCATTTTTCTAATAAGAAAAAATAAACAACGTACAAATGTAAACACAAATCACAAAATAGTTCAACTTTCTGGCTGTCTGCTAGCAGATTTTGTTTTATTTTACTGCAAGTGTGGACAAGCCATTTCACGTACTTTTATCTCTGGTTTAAGTTATACAGAAGCCATTCTGTTCCCTTTATAAGTGTCTCATTTAAATGCCCAGGTGTAGGTGGGTGCAGTGGAATTAGGAGAAAGAGCACTTCTCCCCATCACACTCTGCAGTTGTTGTGACAGCTTAGCCGTGAGTGGGTCAGGTGGCAAAAGCAGAGGCAGACCCAGGCCAGCCGATGCTGCCGGGCACCCTCTCACTCCCCGGTTCAGGAGAGCGTCTCCAGAAGCGCGTCAGTTTGGGGCTGGAAATTGTAAACCTCGATCCAAGGAGCAGTTTCCAAATGGAGAATGGGTAGAATTTCTCCTCCTTCTCTTCCACTAGGAGTAAGTGAGCATCACCAGAAACATCCAGATATGAAGGTAAGGACAGATTTCAATGTAAACGTAATTGAAGACACTTTGCTGAAGAGCTTAATGTCAGCGTTTGCATCTAAAAATGTGATTTGCTGCCATTAATTGCTGCAGTGTTGTATGATGTCGGCTGAAGACTGTCAGGAGTGAGGCTTGTGGAATTCTTTAAACAGCAAAAGTGTGATAAAAAATCAGGGCAGCTGCTGGGTAAAAGACAGGAATTTAAATTTCCCCAGCACTTGTCTCTCAGCATATCAAAACCCTCTTTTCTTGCAGAATGTGTTTTCCTTTTCATAACTCCTCACATCCAGGATCTTTTTATTGACTTTTCTTTTCACACCATACTAATTCATGTCTTACGTGCCTTTTTTTATGCTGCTGTGTCACTGACAAACCTCAAAGTCAGTAGGTGGTCGTGGAATTGTGCCCCAAATACTGTAAGGAAAGTAGGTGTGGAGTTGACATGTCTTAGGACAAGATCTTTCACCACCAGATACAGGAGCTACCAGATTGCAGAAAGCACACGGGTCATCTCATCCACACTACACTGAGCCCTTGCTGGCCCCTGGCTCTGGCCTGAGCAGGGAGAGGCAGCCAGACGGCACCTGTGTTCCAGAAGGTGGGCTTCCTCCTGGACCCAGGCTTGCCTGAGCTACATCCACATGCTTGGCAGCCAAAGCAGGGCAGAATGTTTCCAAACCTAACTTCCATTGAACAAATCAGTTAGATTCTGTCTGCACAGTGGTGTAACTGGCAGCTAGTCCCTGCAGACTTCAGCTCATATACCACTGTGGCCAGCAGCCAGGCCTGGTTGAGACAAGTCAGGAGTCTGGCTGAGGCTTTTAGCATCTCTGTGTGTTAATTCTGCACTTCGTGAACACCATCAGGAAAGGGCTGTTCATCTGGGATTGCTCATTAGTTGACAAAACAAATGTTTTGTTGTGTTTTCTGGTGTGAGTTGGGTGCCAACTGCAAGCTAGAGATTTGTATTTTAAAATCCATGTACATGCAGCTTCATCTTCTTTTATAAATGATTTAGAGAGGGGTAAGAAAAGCTATTCAGAACCTCAGTCCCTAGGGGCTAGAAGCCCAGTGTTTCAGTTTGAGAAGATAAAAGTTTGAACAGCAAATTATTTAGGCAGAATTCCACCCTGCTCCTTGCCAATACACAAAGTATTTTAAGCACGTTTACTCTTCATAAATCCTTTCAGTATACCTGCAAAGTGATAGAAAGTGTAGTCTTCTTGTTTTCCATGGTAAAATGTAGGAAAAATAAAAGATGAAGGGAAATAAACAGTCATCAACTTTGGATCAGCTGAAAATAGGATGATATTTTCAAACTTTTCTGTGCATTAGGGTTAAGGAGAGCCTTTAAATATCCCCATACCCTAGACACACCAAGACCAATAAATCACAATCGCAGCTATTGGACGCTTTGCAGGTGGTTTCAATGGGTGGTAGCCAAGTTTGAGATTAAAGTAAGGAAGCCAGGTTCTATACACTTTTCAGGTGATCCAGTCTCCCAAGAGGAGAAATCTGCAATCTGCTTTGTCACAGCCATCCTGTGTTTCAGCAATCGCAAAATGTTCCCAAACTATTTCTAGGAGTCCCTAGGACTCTGCTCACATCACCTCCTGCAGCAAGTGGATGGAGGCCCACTATACTTGGTGACTTCTCTCTCATTCACTCACCCTCACCTCCCAGAGCTTTCTTTTGGACACAGGAACTGTGTCTTTTATTTTCAAGTTATTCTATATCTCCTATATTAGATATGCATTAGGATCCACTTTTTATTCATAAGACAGTGGGTAGGTGAATTAATAAATCAATAAAAAAAATTCACCTAATTTGTTGTCAATTTATTACAATTTAATAAATATTTGTTAAGTGTCTCCTGTGGACTTGTCCCCTAGTGTCAGCGCTGGGGATAGAATTCCTGCAAGAGAGATCCCCTGCTAATCTATGATACCTCAAAGTTCTCCCTGAGGGCCACTCCATGACCCAGTAACAGCCATGTTAATTTCCCATTCTTTCTTCTGTTTTTCTCACATTCACTGGTTTCGTCCTTGACATCCCCCCATGGAAGGCTTTGGATCTGGAGAAGAAAAGTGCGTTTAAAGTTGAAGCAGCTCCGGCGAACACGGTGCTGAAAGGGCTGCTTATTTTTAGCACATGTGTTTTACACTTTTAGGAGGCTCTCTCCAACTGGGCCGGCTCCTGAGAGGGGAGTACTTATTCGGAGAGGAATAGAACTTAATAAAAACATTCCTCCATCCAGAAGAAAAAAAAATTAAATGACACTGGGGGCAAAAACCTGGTCTCCAACTGTCTATAAAACTGGCTATTCCAATATCTGAACTCACAGAATCCCTCCCCCAGTCGGGAGTTAATCTGGAGTTTGAGTTGAAAACATGTTCAAAGTTTTGCCCCAAATCAGTCACCCAGTAGGTATTTCTGTGCCTGTCCTTCAAGCCCTGTGCTATACACTTGGATTTTATTTCTTTGGAGCCAAAAAAAAAAAAAAGAGGTAAAATCTACAGAACGGATTCACAGGTCACAATAAAATTCACAGGTTGCTGCTCAGTTTCCTCCTTGGCTCCTTATCTTTCTCCAGATTCTCTCCTTGACAAAATTTGTCATGTCTCTGCAGGTGTTTTCTTTGGCAACAGAGATATTATTATTTGACATTATCTATTAAAGTGAGATGCTAATTTAATAGAAACATTTTCAAAAAGTCTTAACACAGATTTGCCACGTGAAGCCCAAGTGAAAGTCAAAGATTTGTCTGGCCACGGCTTTGAAGAAAATGCCTATGTCTGAAATCCAGGAAGATGGTTTATGAGCTGACCTAAATGCCAGCATAGATTTCCACAAAGCAAAACGCCACCAATTCTAAAATGTAGGGCTGAGAATCCCCTTAGCAAAGGTTTGTGTTTAATTCTGTCTTATCGCCCATAATGATACTGTGGTAGCTCTGGCTATCTGTGTTATTACACCTCTTCAAGCCTGTCTTAAAACCGGCCCATTCAGGAAATTCCAGGTTAGGGAAGCGCCTTCTTTCTAAACTAAGCCTTTGGGCTTAAGATATTGTGGAGATCTGTGAACTGTGAATAATGGCTCATTCTTCTCCACATGTATCTTGATTTTTTGACACAGGCTGCAATCCTACCTAAGCTGCAGCCTGATCGCTGAAAGCAACTTTGTTCAATTAAAGCCTGACCAGGTAAGGCTTTGAGAATTTATTTCTGTTTTAAATCCTACAGGATAAAAGGGGTGGAGGGTGGTCTATAATAGGCTGAAGTGGTATATAATAGGTATTTAACTTAGAAGAAAATCTACTAGTTGAAACTGTAACTAGATTATTTCAAAAATAATGATATGATGTGAAGATTAAATGACCAGTGTTGACCTTTGACGATATCTATATAGAAATAAAGCTTGTATATAATGTATATGTCATTATGGTTCATAAATAGTTTCAATTTTCACAAATTCTGCTTGAAGAACTCTAGAATGTCTGGAATTAACTTATATACCACAGAGGACTCTTTGAATGAACATATAAACTGTATAACAAATGCCCACACGTCCCGGGGGTTAAAAAATAGTGAGGGTGTCTTTAATTTGCTTCATGACAGCTATCTTACAATAATTTTTATTTACCTAAAAATGATGTAAGTCTATGTCAAAGTTTAGGCATAGCGTTTTTTAAATGCGTAGTTTGTATCAATGCTTGTAAGCTGTAATTAGAAATAATATTATGTTTTACTTTTGTTAATGTTGGCCATTATTTCCTGGGATGTAAACTGTGCCCACGTGAAAAAAAAAGGATCCGTTTTTCTAAGAAGACACAGTAACAGAACCACTATAACACAAAAAGCCCCTCAGGATAGTGTTTGGATAGTTGATTTAATGCGAACAAAAACTTGTACTTCAGCATTAAGAACACATATTCCTCATATAAGAAGTAGAAAATATTACAGCGCATATCTAACATTGGTAAAATATATGTAATGTTTTCCCCTAAAATACTACATGTATTTTATACTACGTATTAGTTTTTAACTATTGAGTCAAAGAGTTTAAAATACCACAATATTCCCAAATTACAAAGAAAATAAATTTAAAAATTTCTCTGAGAGAAGCAAACAAAGCAATATTTTTCTTAATGTCTTTAAAATTTCTCCAGGAATTTATACTTTTGAAAAACCATTGACTCTTGGATTTTGAAAAATAATATAAACATTTAAGCAGCTACCAAAATATGCTAAGACTGAATGTATGTTATATTCATATTTCCTTTTTATAGTTTTGAAGGATTATTCATTTCATGGGCAATATAAATTTAGGAGTCTCACACATACTACATGAAGAGTGATTTTTAAAATTTATCCTATTTTTAAAAATTAATTGAATTTAATTTTTTAAAATTGACAAATAATTGTGGGTATGCATGGAGTGCATAGTGATTTTTTTTTTTTTTTTTTTTTTTTTTTGATACGGAGTTTTCACTCTTGTTACCCAGGCTGGAGTGCAATGGCATGATCTCGACTCACCGCAACCTCCGCCTCCTGGGTTCAGGCAATTCTCCTGCCTCAGCCTCCTGAGTAGCTGGGATTATAGGCACGCGCCACCATGCCCAGCTAATTTTTTTTTGTATTTTTAGTAGAGACGGGGTTTCACCATGTTGACCAGGTTGGTCTCGATCTCTCGACCTTGTGATCCACCCGCCTCGGCCTCCCAAAGTGCTGGGATTACAGGCTTGAGCCACCGCGCCCGGCGCATAGTGATGTTTTGAAACATATAATGCATAGTGAGCAGATCAGATAAATTAGCATATATATCATGATTTATCATTTCTTTGTTTTGGGAATATTCAATTTCTTCCTTCCAGCTATTTAAAACTATATAATATGTTACTGTTACCTGTAGTCATGCTGTAGTGCAAGAGATCACTAGAACATTTTCCTCCTAGCTGACTGTCATTTTGTATCCATAAAAACAGAAGTTATGGAGTATCCTCTATATGTATTTAATCTAGCCGTAAAGTAACTTGTGTAACTGAGCAATTCTGTGGTTTTAGCTCCCAAAGGCAGATTTTAAACTCTGCTTTTCCCAAGCCTGAAAGTCCTACCTTTGACTCAGCTGCAAATATAGCCCCCAAAAAACAAAGCTGTGAGAATGAGTTAAAAAGTCAAAGGAAAGTTCTTTAGAGCAATTTAGCAATTTTAAAGATGAGCAATCAAACAAAAGTACCCGTATTTATTGTTCTCCAGTAAAAGAATGTTAGAAAGTAAAAGTAGAGTGGTAATTTTCAATAATAACCAATTTAATTAAAATTTAAATCTTTGGTGTTTGATAATTTTTTTTCTCTGAAGTCTAGAAAAGTTTCCTGACACAAAACCTATTCTTGTCAAGGTGACACTTAAGTTACTGCTCTGAAATGCTGCAGAAAGATGAGAAACTGCTGTAGAAAGGAGTTGATACAAAATACAGCCATCACTTTCCAACCAAAAGAAAGCAATGATTAAAGTTATAATGTCAGCAATTACGATGTTTCCAAACAAACATTTAAAATTGAGACAGGCCTCTTAAATTTGAAACTATGTGTGACTTTGAGACTAAATAGTCTAGTTTCCCACTCTTTATGTGTAAATAGGCACAAACAGGTGCACAAAGTCAGAGCCTGGGACAGAAACGGCGACCCCCCACTGGAGACCACTAAACAGACCACTCATGCATACTACATGCCACCAGTATCGTCCAGTAACACAGTTCGTAGAAAATCAGAAAGGTAGCCTGGGACTGGCATTAATGCTGGGGTGTCTAAGATGAGTTGAAGGATCAGCTATTCTTTTTTTTCTGTATTATGTTTCTTCCATTTCCAAGTGGATGAAGCTCTAATTCAACCTCTCATTTGTTTCAAGAGGGAGGTATCAGAACCACAACAAATGGAATGAAACCTACCACCAACACCTGCCTGGCACGAAGAAATAATTTACAATTCACAGGGAATTTCCTGTGTTTCGTTTTGCTTGTCTGAAGAACCTGACCCGACTTGAATGAACTAAGTGACTAATTGTTGCATTATTTTTCTTGTAGAGATTTTAGTGTTTTATTACTTTTTCCAGTTTACCTCAATAGTGAATTAAGTTCCCTCTACCATCTGAAATGTTCGATAAAATAGGTAAATTAATAAAGTCTAAAGTGCTTCCAAGCTGGGCAGAGACCTTTCTGTGTGCTGTGCCTTTATTGCTCTTCCCAGCTGATATTTATAACTGGGCCATATGTGGTTATAAAGATTTATTATGAGCCTGTGGAATAAGTTCTGTTAATGTGTACAGTAAACGTCCAAGTTTTGACTCTGTAAGCCTTGGAGATTTCTAATAAGATGAAGCCATTTTGATCACAAGCCAAGCAGTGTGCACTTGGAGCCAGTCCTCGTATTGACAAAGGGCTTAGCTATGCGCTGTAGACTCTGCCCACTCTCTGTGTGGGTTTGCTAAAAAATGTTTGCAAAGCTCAGGTAGGTATTTTTCTTCCTCATCACCATCCTCAACTGAGGGGGGTTGAAGTTGGAGATTCTGGTGACTGAGAGTTGAAATGGAAAATTTTAAGACTACAAATAAAGATCAGACTAAAAGGGGAGGCAGAGCCACCCTGGGAGTACAGTGAATGGGGCATCTGTGTCCCCCTAGGGTGCTGGGCACCCTGTCCAGCTACTGGATAGTTACTCTGAGTACATCAGGAGAGAGAAAGTTACAGGCACAGCGGCACAGCTGTTATGAAATCACTCGCCATCCACGGCCAGTGCAAAGGGGGCAAGACATTGTCCTTTCACTTTCACACACTTACTTCATTTTGGGAAACTTCTCTTGTCCTTACTATATGTGCATATTTTCAAGTGAATACCTGCCAGTTTTGGAAGAGAAAGGGTTAGTCTGTTCTTGGCGGTGACACCAAAATACCATAACCTGGGGGCTTATAAACAATGGAAATTTATTTATCACAGCTCTGGAGACTGGGAAGTCCAAGATCCAGAGGCTGGCAGGTCCAGTGTCTGGTGTGGGCCTGATTTCTGCTTCATAGATTGCATCTTTTTGCTCTCTCCTCATATAGCAGAAACAACAAATGAGTTCTCTGGGGTCTCTTTTGGAAGGGTACTAATCCCATTCATGAGGCTCCAACCTCATGACCGAATCACCTTCCAAAAGCCTCACCTCCTAATACCATCGTCTTGAGTCTGAAGATTTTAACATATGAATTTTGTGGGAGCATAAAAATTTTGTAGGGGGGTAAAATTATTTTATTTAGAGCCCAAAGCAGTCTCTAAATAAAACAATAGAGTAGGACAATGTCAAAAGCTTTGTAATGTGTTTCTCAACCTCGAGGGCATCACAGTCACTTGGGGGAACTCTTTACAAATACTAAAAATACACAGTTTATCACACCTTCTCCTTCTTTGAGTACTGCCTGGGTATGGTTTTATTTTTGTTTTGGAAGTTCCTCAATAGATTCTAATGTACAAAACCACTGGTCTAAGACCCTCTTCTAGTTCTGACCCAAGAGTTAGAGAGTGGCCGAAAAGTAGCTTTTCATGGCTGTCACGTAAGGGAAAACGCAAGGCCAGATCTTGCCCAAGAGGGCATCATAACATTCCTGCACAGCACATTTCCCCTTTTCTGCGTCCCCTTCACAGGTGCTCATAACTCCCAGAAGTTCTAGAGCCTTCTCCCATGAAGGGCAGCTCTAGCTGAATAATCTACAGATTGAATTTCTTCCCTCCAATCTTTTTTTCCAGAAGATCTGTGAAATGCCGTATTAGATTGGTCCTGATTAATTAATCCAAAAATATTTATATTTAAAAATTTTTAAGTTATTTTTTTTTGAGACAGGGTCTCCCTCTGTCACGTAGGCTGGAATCCAGCAGTGTGGTCACGACTCACTGCAGCCTCCACCTTCTGGGCTCAAGTGACTCTGCCACCTCAGCCTACTGAGTAGCTGGGACTACAGGCATGTGTCACTATGCCTGGCTAATATTTGTATTTTTTGTAGAAAGAGGATGTCTCTATGTTGCCCAGGCTGGTCTTGAACTACTGGGCTCAAGCAATCTGTCTATCTTGACCTTCTGAAGTGCTGGAATTACAGGAATAAGCCACTGTGCTCAGCCCAAAAATGTTCCTATATGATAATTGAATATATGAGTCTAATGCCGTTAACATT